AACCTTATGTCCAATTGGTAAGAACGTTCATTTGTAATGAGGGCGTAATACCTACCATATGTTATTACAACTAAAAATGAAATAAATGCTTTTGCCTGTTTTGCACTATTAAAAATATTGCACTTAGCCCAACCTGACCCTCAGATTATTAACATCCCTTAATATAAAACATATAGAAAGATTTCAGCTTTTCTGGCTTTCTTAACCAGAAAAATGGTCTTAATTAAAATTATACATTCTTGGACATCAAAATGCAATATACATGAAATATGATTATGATAAATGTAACCTGTCTTTTTGTAGATATCTCCCAATGTAGGAACAAGCTCGCCAAATACACAGGGCAACAGAACAAAGTCAAGAGCCAGTATTGATTGTTCTGTACCACCGCCACCAGTTGCTATGCCACAAGTAAGTAATTACACCTTATTATTTATATTTCTCTTCAAGAGTATGCCTCAACTAAGTCCCCTAAATCAGCTTAGAAGAATAATACCRTATTTACCCATGTATAAGCCGCACGTTTTTTCCAAAAAAATCGTTCCCAAATCGGGGGTGCGGCTTATCTACGAGAAGACTTGTAAAAATGCCCGATAAAAACTAATTTGCATAAATTAGCATTCACAGTGYTACTTACTGCAGGCAGGACATCAGTAATGTGATAAGTTTSTTTTACACAGCGGGAACAGAAATTTAAGTCCAAACTTCTCAGTATTACTATAAATTCTCCGAAAGTCTAGCTCTGAGAAACACAAGTCAATAATTCAAACTGAAAAGTGCGTGGTTGAGCTAAAACGAACAGAGAGCATTTTCAATCGTTTTGTCTTGGAGTTGTTTGGTAACGCGATGCTAATTTAAGCGACTTTGTCCCACAAGTTTGGCGGCACGATGAGATTTATATCASTCAAGTTAATTACTAGTTTGCTTTTACCTTTTGATTAAAAAACATCTCTTTAAATATAGTATCAATTATCAATCTTAACAATTATGTCTCCAAGATCATCATACACCGCACGTTAAATAAACAGATTGTAATTGCATACGAAATGCATGGATCACGGAAATCGAGAATCAAAGAAAGCTGTGTTCGCAAGTGGCGATCAAAAAGAGAAAAKTTTATTTTCCRTCTTTTTTTCCTCAAAAACGTTCCTAAAACTYGGGRTGCGGCTTATCTACGAGAGCGGCTTATACATGGGTAAATACGGTACTTTATGTATTATGAAGCCTGGCTGGTGAGCTAACATGCTACTTCTATATTTCAACTTGGCTTACTCATTCCACTGATCATTCAATTGTTACATCTTCAATGGTCAATTTTATTTGATATATTTAGGGAATATTTTAACAAAAGTCATCGTAATTACCATATTTAAATTGATTTTGAATATTAGGATATTTTAAGACAGGCTATTTTTTTAGTCGGGCTAGCCATAGGCTAGGCCGACTTTAGTTTTACCTTTTTGTCTATCTGTGTGTCATGTCGCGTTTGGGACACCGGAAATTCAATCCGCAACCTTCCTGTCATGTGATAYTCTTTCTAACCGGAAATCAKACAACTCCAACTRGGATCCCTGTGTMATTGCGTCACACATGACGTCATAACAATTATTAAATTAGCATACGTCACATAAGTCTACCTCCGAGTCTGMGGCATATCATCGTATWCTACTACTTTTTGCTTGACTTATATACTAATAAATTTGCTTGTTAAGAACCATGTGGGAGGACGTGTGCTTTATATAACTGAATAAAACATAAGCGCATGCTCAGAGTACTAAATGTCCCATCCAATCACACATTTTTGCAGTTACCAGGGCAAAGGTAACCAAATATACCATAATAATCAGCCAATCACGTGCATACCTACAAAGTAACCTGGCAACTAAAATTACCCATAATTTCCTCGTTGGATAGCACAGGAATACCAAGGTCACATGGTCAATCATATTATCCATAATGCTTTACTTTACTTGTCTCATGGTGCTGTACTTGTGCTGTAGTACGTTTGCTCGACGTTTCTTCCTTCTTCCTTGGAGAGTTTTTGCAATTAAGAAAAAGTACATACTGAGACGCTCAACGGCAGCTCAACCATCTTACAAACGCACACGCCGTTCGCGGTAGACTCTAAAAGATATCAATGAACGTCAGTTTCGAAACGAGTCGTTCCGTGAACCCAAAGAATTCTTTGACAAGACGAAGGATCAGAACTCTACAATCAGCTCTAGACTCACAGTGATAAGTTTATTTGTTCTAATAGCTATATTTTACGTATCATTCTCATACTCATTAATTATTCATGAGGTATCTAGCCAATCCCTGATTGTAATTTGTACCACGTGCAGTAACTGGATACCAGAGGAAGTACTCCTACCTTGTATTCTAGCTTATTTCCAGTTACTTCTACCTTGTTTCCAGCTACTWCTATCTTATTTCCAGTTACTTCCACCTTSTTTCTAGTTRCTTCTAGCTTTTTCTAACTAGTAYTAGCTAATGATAATCAAAGTATTAGAAATAATCAACTTAATATAGAATTAATTTAGTGAAAAAAGGTCTTTGATAAATGACTCCCTCACGAAACGATCCCGAACCGTCCAATCTATATGCCCCGTCTTATACCATTACACCACCGAGTTTCTGATGCGATTCCTTGGAAGATAACATACTTATAAAACTTATGAATTAGGCTCATTAGGAATGCCATGAAAAGCAAACAAAGACAATTTGAAAAGCTTTTGTTTCAGAAAGCCGTTCGGGAATTGGAAAACAACAAACGGTGCTTCTTTATTCAAAATTATGAAAACTGAAAACCTTGGTGGAGATGCAATAAATCAATATATTTCTGTTATATGTATTTCCTTCGCTTTTTTCCCCTCCCGAATAATTAATGAGTATGAGAAGTCGTTCAAAGTCCTCCAATTCGGACTGGACGGGATTTCAAGTCCTTGCAATTAGTTCCAGTCCTCGGCTAACGCCTCGGACTGGAACTAATTGCGCGGACTTGAAACCCCGTCCAGTCCTCATTGTCGGACTTTAAACATTAC